TGCTGTTGTTGTTGCTGTTGCTGCTGTTGTTGTTGTATTTTGTTGCTGTTATTGTTGCTGTTCTCAGAATGTTTAACTTTCCGCTAACCACGATTCATGTCTTTTATATCTTTCAGGAAGTTCGAGTTGAATGCAAATGCACAAGAATTCAAGCCTCGGCAACAATTACCGGTACTGTGTGTTATTAATTACTGTTGATGGTGCTGCCATATTCTGTGGTGCACCTTTAGTTCAAGATGTAATAAGTTGGTTGTGTCAACTTAGGTGGTGGTCAGGGGTGCTTACCATTTGAACCAATCCATTCAGTTAGAAATTCAATTGCAAATGGTGAAAAAAAAGAGCAGAAAGCTTAGACATCTGACAAATGGTACGCATGTCTACCAGAAAAATCGAAAAGAGGGAAAAAGTGGATGCCTTAATCGGAAGACCGATCTTTCCGATCTGAATGATACATACCATTTGTTTTTCCAACTGGAATTTCCGGGGTATTTTCGGGTAAATGGAAAGCGTCTTGGTTCTTTTGTCCTTTCAACTACAGTGTAATACAGATATTTTTGGGTGGTCCCAGCGTATCACACATTATGACTTCCTTTTTTTTTATTCTCCAGAGGACACCTCCAGCCTCTCAGCAGCAGCATGTTCCTGTACCATCACCAACACAACATCTTTATCATCCTGGTGGTCCAGGCCCACATATGCGCCAACAACCTCAAATGAAGCCCCATTTACCCTTTAACCATAGTAAGAGCCAATATTTTTCCTATATGTTTAAAATGGACGAGTGGTATCCAAGTATTTTGTTGGGGGTGGGGGGTAGTATGGCGTTATATTCCCGACAAAATTCAACCTCAGGTTTTCAACATTCTAATAAAGAATTCAGTGTTTCACTTACAATGCAATATTGTTAGTTGCTTTTCCGACATTGAAGATTTCGATTTCAACTTAAGGCTGAAGACTTAGCACCAGATATGGACTTCATCACGCTAGAAAATCCAAAAAAAATATCTCTCTCTCTCCTTGAACCGCAATAAAAATGCAACATCTCAAAGGAACGATAATTTCTCTATTATAACATGTATTCTGAATGCCACCACGCCAAATATGTCCAGAAAAATCCTGGCTTGAAGTCGAATATTTGATTTCTACAGCATATGATCGATGGTTCAAACAGCCGTTGTAAAGCGTGAGCGGGTCACGTTACGTACTGCATTCCCATTATTTAGGTAGAGAAGACCGGATTTTGAAAAAACCCACTAAACGGCCTCAAATAGCGCTCAAACTTCGCCAGAAGACTGAACAAAGTAAAAGCAACGACTGCAGCAAGTTTTGAGGCAAATTGTTGAGTGAAACATTTTATTTTCGTAACKTTATCATAACYCCCATACATTCCCTYATAAACCATACACAGGAACCTTGTTTGGGCTGCCTGTGCATAGGTCAAACGCACTCGTGCGTGAAGTTCAATGCTAGAACTTGAACGTTGGATCGTAATCCAACAATGACGGAAAGATTATGTGTTTGTATCTAAAGACTTTAAAACCTTAGTCCTTGAACGAGAAACTCTAATGGTTCATTTTAATATACTGTTTAGAAAATAACATTCTCAAAGATGAATGTTGAGACTTAATGTATGTCAAAAGAACAATGTTGAATTTTGTCCAGACACGGAAAGCTATTAACGAATGTTCAATCGTGGAACTCGAATGTTGGACGAGATTACAGCTAAGTTGAAATCGAAATCTTCAATGTCGGAAAAGCAACTAACAATATTGCATTTTAAGTGAAACACTGAATTCTTTATTAGAATGTTGAAAACCTGAGGTTGAATTTTGTGGGGAATATAACGCCATAGGGTAGAAAGAATGAAATTTGAAGAACACATTGCTGCTGCTGATGATGACGATGACGACACATGAGGATGATGACACAAGATGATGTTGACACATGTTTTCCCATTTCAGACAATATGTCATTCCCTAGAGTATTATTTATTTGTTTAATGGTTGTGAATGAGAAGACACATGAATATGGATAAAACTCAAAAAAAGAACCTTATTCTTAAGGGAATGATACAATCTGAAATGGGAAAGCATTAAGCTCAGAGGTCATAAAAGATCTTCACAGACCAGTGTATCAATTTATCCCCATCACTTATATGCTTGACGGTTTCTTTGTCAATTAATACAAAGGTTATTGTTAACCCTGTACACAATAAATCTTTTCAGCTGCTCAGAGATACTTCCCTGGCCGTGACCCTAACGATCCACATGGAGGGATGTCTGCAGCTGCTGCCACAGGAAACCCAATCATTACACAAGGATATCCTCATTATATTACWGTTCCGCAAAGTCATCAGTTCCATGGGGGAATGCTACATATGTCTAATCCACAGGTAGATATGTCAAGTGGTATTTTTTGACCACTCCAAAGAGGGAGAAATATCCAACAGGTTCTACATAACCGTTTAACTTTATCCGTGATGCCCTGAAACAGCCTCTGGGCTTATCAAAATCAGGGCATGGCTAAGTAACACTTCAAATCCTAAAACAACCTGTGGGCTTATCTAAGTCAGGGCATTGCTAACTAACACTTCAAACCCTGAAACGACCTCTGCTCTGATCTAAGTCCGGGTATGGCTAACTCACACTTCAAACCCTGAAACAACCTCTGCGCTGATCTAAGTCAGGGCATGGCTAGCTCACACTTCAAACCTTGAAACAACTCCTGGRCTGATATAAGTCAGGGCATGGCTAACTAACAGATCAAATTGGAATTTAACAAAGCAATTCCCAAATAGCGTTTTCTACAGATGACGTCACAATYGTGCATCATGGAATTGAAAGTTGAACAAGCAGCACACATGATAATATGCTGCAATGATGTGTAGTTGTCTTTTTTCTAATCCGTGTAACCCTGGAAAAGCTATGGTTTTTAGACTGATATTTATCTCCTTTTCCATGTAACCATATCATGTGTTTACAAAGTTTGTTTGTCCACATGTCGATCCCACAAGGCTTTGCGATATCTATTTTTAGTAACTGTGAAAGAACTCTATTAAGTAAGCAATTAATGTATGAACTTATGCAAATGAATTTTYTTTGCATAGGGTCTATGACACCCCTGTTTCTCTTGGGACAGAGTAGGAAGGGACTAACAAACAAAGTCACTTGCATTATAGCTTTTTTTTTWWAAATAACTTTATTACCGATAGCAGAGTAAGTCATACATTAATGCCGTCCACCTCCACATAACTATTTACACGATTTTTGTTTTCTTCTTTTCTTTTTAATTTACATAATTAATTTTATTATTTTTTATTTCATATATATTTTTCTCTATATAATTTTTTTTATTATTATTAATATCCTTTTATTTATTTTTTTATTTATTCATTTATTTATTTATATTATTACTATTATTATTATTATTGTTATTATTATTATTCTTATTATTATTATWKYWTRWTTKAGGTCTACCTCTACCAGACTCCCTTGTGCACTTTCTTATAATTAGTTAATTAGCGCCAATTGTCTTACTATTCTCATAAGGAAATATGAATTTGAATAAGAAAGAAAATTCATGCAGCATTTTGGTAGTGGTAGTAAAATGACACCATCATGCAAATGGCCTATCCTATTACTACAATACAAGACACACTCTCAATGTGTGATCTCTATTTTAGGGCCCATTCATGCTCCATGCTGGACCACAGGGAGCCCAACCACATTACTTGGTTCCTCATTCTGTAAGTTGATAACTTAGGCCTAGGGCAAACGTCGAACTTTCCATGCACCAAACCTAATTACATCAAAGAATGCCGCCTCATTATCACCTGATGTCCATTGTTTTTAATGAGTTCGGTGCATGGAAAGTTTGACGTTTGTCCTAGGCCTTACTGTTAGAAGACAGGTCAAAAATTAAATGGAGTTCTCTATTTTTTTTAAAAAGAGGTATCCTATATCTATCCCATTCCAATCCCAAGCTCTCATCCTTTTAAAAAATGTTTCTATCACASTCTCTTCTATCATGTATTAAAAATCATATCTTCCCTTCAAATCTCATTCCTTAGATACTTGTACACTTACATCTTATCCCTCTTATTCTCTCCCATCCTCTCTACAGTCCATTCCCATCCTATTTTTTCCTATAATAATTCATTACTCCTATATTCTCCCAGGGTGGCAATACACCAGTCCAAGTGAGTGTGGCTCAAACTTATCAAGACAATACTCCTGTACCTGTTTATGGTAAGTCAACTTTTCCTTAGAATTCAGTTATCCCAGGTAACATTCCAGATAGGCAACAAAGTGTAATCCCTGTGGACATTTGGACCAACAGGGGTTGGCTCTTGAATTTTTATAAACTGAGTTTTGGTTCTACATTTTAAAATGGACCAAATCCACTTTGTCATAATGTTTTGCCTACTTCAGACCAAATCTCACTCTCTTCAGAATAAGATTCTTTGTTTGAGTAGTATCCTTATTCATGTGTCTTCTCATGTGCAACCGTTAAACAAAGAAATAATACTTCAGGGAATGACAAGTGGTCTGAAATAGGAAAACAGTGGATTAGGTCTAATAATTCCCAAGTACTGCAGAAAGTTATTAACGTTAGGCCACAAAAAGAAGAGAGGTTATAACATAATGCACTCCCTGGACATTACAGGTGGTGGTGCCATTCCAATGACCCCATCTTCGCCCTACCAGGGGTCACCACAGCCAAGCCCAACCACCCAGGGCCAATTTCTACAATGTTTTCCACCACAAGTTATGCAGCAACAGCAAGGAAACCAGCCTCCAATACCCCATACAATAATGCCCTCGCCAAACCATATGGTAATGGTGCAGCAGCAAGGGGGACCGCAGACTGTAACAATGGCTGGCATTCCGGTATCAGGATCCCCAGGCAGTCCCATGATACAACAGTACATACCAGGTAAGAAACACGTTCCAATCAATGATATTTAGCTATTTAAAAAATATATCATTCTGAAATATTAATTTAATATTTACCTGGGATGCAAAAATTGATGATACTGGAAATTTTTTGTTTGTATGTCAATGAGTTTTGTACCGCTACCACTTGTCAGATTGTGCCGTCATGGTGCCGTCATATCGTGTTTGCAAGACAGACAGACAGGATTCTACTGTGCAGGCAGATGTAGGAGCGGGAAGCAGGCAGGAAGAACAAACCACTGTCAGTGTCCAGAATTAATCACCTAACAGTTAGACAAGTTAGGCTCATATTTCTTCTTTGCCAAGATTTTCACTTGAAGTTTTGTTGATTTCTTTGTGATACTCACAATCACCAAGCAACCATCACCAAGCAACAATCACCTAGCAACCATCACCTAGCAACCATCACCTAGCAACCATCACCTAGCAACCATCACCTAGCAACCATCACCTAGCAACAATCAGTATTTTTGTATGATTTACTACATGCAACCATGTATAACATGAAAATAGTTGGCTTAGCTGCATTTTTTTCTCCTATTTGCATGTCTGTCTAAAGTATTTCTGGTTAAACCTGATATGAAAACAGGATTTTGCCATCCACAGTTGTYATCAGCAATGTATCAAAAAAATATCAAAGTCTGCAGAGTCCTATTCTTCCTTCTCTCTATTAACTAGAAGTAAAAATATTTCATGCAAACAAAGTATAGTTATTGACACCTGTTTTCATAGTTTAGTTAGCCATACACAATCTAGATGTCTTGTCTTTTGGCATCTGTCAAAAGAGGGCAAAACTCCATGTCTTGTATGGAGCTGTTAAGTTGTGACACATTTCTGGGTCCAGCTGCCCACAAAATCTGTTAAATAAAAATATAGTGAAAAATGTTGTAAAGGAATTACAGGCTGTAATCTCCACCTAAGACAATTAGAATTTTGGATAAAAAATCCAGTCATGAAATCTTAGAACTACTTTTTGTTTTGGACCTGGAAGTCRCTTTTTCCATGATTGACAAGCCAGTTGTCTGGGTTACTATCTTGAAAATAACGAACCTATAAAACTAATTATTTTTGACATCCTTTGAAATCGACATCCACCGATACCTACTTTGTCCTGATGACAACTGGAACAGATATGTGTAAATAGACGTTTTAGACTCAAGTTACATTTTTCGTCTCTGGTTAAGTTAATATAAATTTCTTCCATGTTAATTGACTTTAAGGTAACCCTATTGTCAAAAGTAATTGATCTTTGTCTGGTGCTTCTTATTTTGCAATTAATAAAATATCTCAGGATTAAGAAAAGCTGCATTTTATTTTGTTGTCTAGCTTGTCTTGAATAACACTGCTAGTAACTGCACTTTTTAACTGATGCACTTCAAACCATGAACCAGTATTTCATGTTGTAAAAAATAGAGTTGTTTGCATAGAAGTGGAAAGTGGTATGTGCAGTACCGTAACTGTAAGTCATGTCATAGGCTTCCGAATCTTACTAAAACAACTCTATTGCAGCCTCAATGTATGATAGTAGACTAGAAAGAAAGGAAACAGAAGGTAGGAAGAAAGAAAGAAAAGAAAAAGAAAATAGAAGTGAATTCATGATGCATGCTTGGCCTGTGATCCCAGTATTGGTATCAAGAAATCACATGAATTTCATCCCCTCCAAGAAGTAGTTTTTATGGGCACGGGAGAGGACAAAGATACATCATTTATGAAATCTAATTTTGGATATTTTAGCAACAGATCATTTCTCTCTTCACTATTTGAATTAGAAGTTTCCCTTTGTTAGTTACTAAGCAATAGTAGTTAATCCCAGTTGAGTCCAATAAATATTCTCTTTTTGGGGTCAGGACCAGTTCATGGATACCCTGCATCTAGGAAACAACCGCAGCTCCAGTGTAAGTTGAATAAATAAACTACCCATCCATCCA